GCTGTCCTGGACTGCTTTCCCAAGCCACAAGCAGGGAGCTGGATGGGAAGTGGGGCCACCAGGATTAGAACTGGTGCTCATATCAGATCCCGGCACATTCAATGTTAGGACTTTAGCTGCTAAGCTACCATGCCGGGCCCCCAAACTAAATTTTTAACTCATGCTAATATTTATTGCGAGGAAAAAATTTATGTTTTTTTTTCTTTATGACTCACACATTTTTCTAGGCATCAAATGTATGGGGATTCCCCAGTAATTCAATTTTCCAGCAGATACTAAGTGCATGTCTTATAATTTGATTCCATTGTAACACTGTCTACTTGAGATGGCATCAGATTCCACTGGCTCAGGGCTCAGTCCCACAGTCTGTTGCGTTGCCCCTCCCAACATTCAGATGGTAGTCATAAGTGCTGAGTCCTCAGGTATTCGCCACTTCTGTGCTACTGGGCTATGAATCAGGGTCTCACACACCTCTACTCAGGTCCCGCAGGAGTCAGGGAAAATGTTTCTAGAATATTGGTTTCTTAGGTAGGATATGGTAAAGCGAACAAATGAACAGGAAATCTCTACATGGGGCAAGCCCAGAAGGGTCTGAGCACATGGAGTTCCGGTGTGCACCACTGGACTCGATGGACTGGTGTGTTCTTGCTCCCCAAACTGGAAGCTCTCCAAATCCCAACCTTTTGAGTTTCTATGGAGATGTCACTGTGGGCGTGGTTGATGAAACTGTTGACACTGAGGATCAAGTCTGTCTCTAGCCTCTCTCCCCTTCAGGACATGCTGCTGTAGGGCTCCAAGTTCCAACCTTCTAACCCCTTGCTTAAGTTCCTAGCAACCAGTCTCCACCTGCTTATCCAGGTACTTTCTAAAAGTTACCTCTTTCACTCATGTGCAGTTGAAAGGGGAGCATCAGAATAACAAAAAAGACTCTTCTTTTACCTGTATTGCTTTGGAACTATTTCATGAATTGAGGCCAAAATCTAAATATTATAATGAGATATTTCTCTAGCTATAATCATTTAAAAAGTTTTCAGGAGCTAGGGGCTAGGAGCCATCAGCTAAGATTTATACATATATCATTTTCCATGTTATAGAGGAGCATAACTGCGCGCGCACACACACACACACACACACACACACACACACACACACACATAAAAGCTACTTATCATTGGTTCATGTGAACAGTAATTTTAAGAATAAGACATTGTTCCCAGACTATTTCATGTTGCCTAAACTCAGAGACACAGATACTTTATGATATTTAATTAAGAAGCTTGCTTTCAGTCGTAAACTTCTCCCAATTAAACAATAAGCTATAAAATCACTTCAGTAAGGTGCCTGTGGGATGTGAGAATCCTAATGGAAAAAGTGCAAGTCATTGCAATTTCAAAAACTACTGAAAAATATTACTAACCTAACTGAAGATACTTGATGGGCTCAATTTTAAAATACATTCTCATTTCTCCCCATAGAATTGAGTTCTGCTTCAGCATGAGAATTCTGAAATGAGACTTGCCTAGGGCCAAATTTAGCTCTTCCATTCATTGGTCACGTGACCTTTGGCAAGCTACCTGAATATAATAGGCCTCCACCTGCCCCTCTGTCAATAGAAGGTAATAATTGTGCTTATTTAATGGACAGCTATTGTTGCTAAATGAAATCATGCACATATATCCAGTACTCGTTGTACTGTATGTGTCTCATGAGTGATTATTCAGTATTATTTCCAAAGAAAACTTCACAAGTTAATGGGACCAAACACTTCTGTCTAGAGATGCAGATGGGGCCAAAACATCTAAATTCCTATTTTAGAGGAATCTGATACAAAGTTTTATAATTTCTTATTTTCAGGACCCTGTGCCACTGTCTCCGTTGCCTCCAGTAAAAATTCAAGCGACTATGTTACTGCCTAAGCAATTTCCTTTTTAAAACATGCTTTCTAAGGAAACAGTTTCTGGTCTATCTTAACTTTTGTTGTTTGTTTTGTTTTAAAGTTGAGAGAAAGAGAGAGAATGAATATGCAATGCTTCCACCTGCTGGTTCATTTCTAAGGCCTATAAGGGCCAGAGGTCACAGTGAAGCTGGGAGCTCAAAAAACAATCCAGGTCTTCCTTTTGGACAGCAGAAACCCAATTTCTTGAACAATCACTGCTGTCACTCCTGCATCTGCATTAGTACAAGCCTGGAGAGTCAGGAACCAGAGTTATGAATTGAAACCAGAAACTCCACCATGGGATGCAAAGTCTTAAACACTAGTTGTACACCCGCTTCCATCTTAGCACTTTTAATGGCATATAGTCAAGGATTTCAAAAGGTAGATTTTGTTTTGCAGCTATTAATTTCAAAAGTGCTAATGGTTGCAGCAGTGTTAACAGCTGAACCTTAAAACACCAAGTTCTCTGTTAGCTCAGTTTCGTCCCACAAAGCTCACCATGGTCGGGTGGGGGCGGGAGGAGGAGTGGGGCACAGGTGTGTCACAGCAGAGAGAGGATGCAGAGTAAAATCCTGCTGATGATTTCAGGATTTAGATTTTATTTTCATGATTACTACCAAGATCAACTACCATTTGATACCAAACTAAACACGAGTAGCAGCTTTGTCTTAAACAAGGCTCTCAGCCAAGGTTAATGCAGACACATTAACATAATATGTAATTACAATATAAATTCTATATGAGCTAAAGAGTTCAGACTTTAGAGTATTTAGTGTGCATTACACTGAAAGTCAGAACCAGTGCAGAGAATTGAATTCTGAAACATATGCTTTCGACATTTAATACCAGGTCCTGTGCTAGGTGCTGCTGATGGATACAGAGATGAATAAAAACACAGAAACTCACAGACCTGGTAGTGAAACAGACATGCAAAGAGGTAAATGACAACATACTGTGGTAAGTGCTGAAATAGGGGTTCTAACTGAGCTGTGGGAGAAGGCAGAATTATACCGTCTGAAATCTGCAGCAGCTTCCCAGTGAAATGGTCTTTTAAATTATACCTTAAAGGAATCATACAGCCCAACCTGGGTTTTGTAGCTAACAACAAAATAACAATGCAACCTAATTATCATTTCCATACAACCTCCTGGAAGGATTGCAAATGTTCTTTGCAAATCTTGCTACAACCGACAAGAGTGACTATGTTTCAATATACAAATGAGGACACTGGAGTTCAAGGATTAAGAGGTTCAGGTTGCACAACTAGGGAGGCAGGGTTAGAGTTCAGATTTGTATCACTGCAAACTCCTTACCGTGACCCTGACTGCTTACAAAGACCCTTTTTTGCTCCTTTTTATTTATTTATTTTATTATTGCCAACCAGTATGTATTTATATTTATTTCGAGTCTGAGTGTGGGAACTCTCACTGGAAGTCCAACAAAAATATCAAATTGTGGCTCGAAATTTTGGGTAATAGTGAAAGGTCATAGTGATTTTTGAAGTAACATTCAGGCTTTAAGATGCATAGGAATCACGTCCATACATGTTAGAACTGTCCACTGAATGAACAAAAGTTTTGTAATGAACTGAGGGGAGACTCCACTTGAAGAGCATTCATATCCAGGGTTGTTACCATCTTGGTCTCACCCTTTCTGTTTCACCTCCTTTCAGGGCAACAGCAGAGATCACTGGAGTCCTACAAAGTCGTTGGAACTGCTCTAGCCCTTTAAGCTTGCTTTCTAATTCTCAATATACCCTGCAGCACTGCCCCTATAATATTGTTGGCGGGGGTGAGTGGAATCAAAAGGAGCGGTACCATTCCTAAATTCAATCAAGAAAACGATGACTTCATCCCAGTTCCCCTAAGTCCAAAGTCTAGGATTCCCTGGAAAGGCCTGCCCCACGGATACAAAGAGGGGATTCAGGAAACACTTGTAGTAAGAAGCCCTCCACAAAAGGTTTGTGCCCATAGTACTTGCTAAGTGTTTAAACCCAGGCAAGGCATTTAAGAGCTGGAGCCACCTCACATACTATGTCTGCCTCTGCTGCCTGCCTCACACGGCACCTGAAATTTTTAGCAGATTGCTACAGCCAGCCTCTGTCTTTTTCCTTAGAAACTCTAGGAATTTTTCCATCTGCTGACTACGAGCAAAGCCATACCTTAGATTTCTGTCTACTCCAGATCTAGGCTAATTAAGGCTGGCCTTGGAGTCATCTCCCAAGGCCTTATGGGGATTTAAGGTTGTCAGCACTGTAATTGGGGAACGTGTAGTGTTTTGCTGAGTGAACAGGAGAAAAGCAGTGAAAATCCCAACCTTTGGACAAACTCGCTTCTCACTTTGGCTGCAAAGGAGAAATGGTAGTGAAAGAGGTGGCTGTTTTTTTAGAGGTTGCTATGTAAGGGTAGACCAACAGGCCAAGGAGTACTGGTTGTTGCTCAGTTTCGCATGCATAAGTCGTTTCCAGACTGCCACGCAGAGTAACTGTTTAATTTTTGGTAGTGCTAAGGCACTCCCACACCACTCGCTATTACTTAGTTGCCTTGTCTGTACATTTTCTTCACTGGGCAGAACTTTTTCCATACACAGGGCTGCCAGCTCTCAAGGGGGTGAGGGAACAAGGGGAGGATTCAGATCAGTCCAGAAGGGAGGGCCCCCCGCTCCCACGCTCCAAGCAGCAGGTGGTTTGGGGCTACCCCGTCAACTGCTCAACTGTGTTCTGCACGACCAGGAGGACTGTGGGAGAAAGAGTGCAAACCGAGCCTTGCAGGGACTGGCAGCTCAGACAGAGAAGCCGGCGAGACAGTCTCGGGACAGATGGGGATTCCTGCCCAAGAGGAGACTCGGCTGGCAAACGGCTCGAACACTTCTACATCCAAGCACTTTGGGTTTTGCCCCCCGTTCCTTCTGCGTCTCGCGGAGCGCACCCCAGCCTTCCCTCCCCAGGGTCTTATGAGGGCCCCTGGGTTCCTAGGTAGGGCAGTTATCACCGTCCTGACCTGGGCCTTTTTGAGGAGTTCCCAGACAGCTATTTTTAGCGTTGGCTGCTCCCCTCTTAACTTACCCAGGGGAGGGAGGAGCTGCGGTATCAGATCAGCCTCGGCGCTCACAGAAGGCACCGGCTGTCCGCGCACCGTCAGGGATGAGCGGTACACGAGCTATCAGACCCGGCCGGGCCCGGGGCAGAGCCCGCCAGGTGGGCGCCTCAGAGGCGGCTCCGGCGCGGAGACCACGCGGCAGGAAGACCTCTTTCCTCATTCTAAACAAAGCCCTCCGGCGGCCGGCGGCTGGGCACGGGAGGCGCGGGGTGGTCTCGGCAGGGGAGGAGGAAGTTCCTGGGCAGCGCGGCCTGCGTCACAGCGGGGCTGGCACCGCCGGCTCGGCTCTCCGGGCGGTGGCGACGACCCCGGAGCCGGGCGCTGGGCGGCGCTGGCTGCCGCTGGCCCGGCTGCGCGCGGGGCGGCGCTGGAGGCGCGGGGCGGCTCCGTCCCCGGCCGGAGAGGCGGAGGGGAGGAGGACTGCGGGACTGGGGCGTTAGCTGCGTCCCGGCTCGGAGCCCGCGAAGAGGACGGGAAACGAGGCGCCGCCGTGGCCGCGGCCGCAGTGCTCCGGGCGCGCCAAGCCATGAGCGGCGACCCCGCATTCGCTGGCCGCCGCTGAGCCGGGGCCACAGCCGGAGCCAGCTTGCCGCTACCCAGCACCCTCTTCAGCTGGCACCCAGAGGTAAGGGCGGGAGCCGGGGAGGGATGGAGAGGGGTGGCCCGCACAGGGCCGGCAGGCTCGGTGCGCTAGGCGCGTGGGGCCACGACTCGTCCCGCCTCGGTCCCGGCGTTGCCTCGTCCAGGCTCCGGGACCGGCAGTGTGGTCGCCGGCCCGGCGTGTGGTCTCCGGAGTCAGCGACAGCTACGGCTGAAGAGCCCGCCAGTGCGAACCCCACCCGTCCCATGCTCGCCCGGCGACCCGCGCTGGGGACCCACGGTGGCGCGAAGCGCGGGGCACCCGCAGCAGGTTCTGTGGAGCCCGGGGAGGGAACCCACGCGGACAGAAAGCGCGGCCACGGTCGAGGGCGAGCGTCGTTGGCTGCTGAGACCCTGGGGCCTGTCCTTCCTGGTCGGCTCTCCCTCGCCCGCCGCCCCCAACCACTTCTGGAAAGGGAGAGGGAGGCGAAGGTCTGGGAAGGCGGAGAGTAATACCTGCCTGCCTGCAGGAGCACCGGGGGGAAGGGGTTCGCTATCAGGCGGACTCCAGAGCCAGGTGTCCAGAGCAGCAGTTGAGGCCCGTGACCGCTGCCTTCATCTCGAACCGAGGCTCGCGGATCTCTTTCCACAGCTCCTTTTGGGCTGCGAGGTGTTTGAGGCTGGAGTTGGCTGCTGCAGCACCTCCGGACATGCCCCGGGGCTGCGCGTGCCTCTATTGGCTCCCTCTCCCACCACGCTTGCCTGGGTGCATCTCCGTCCCAATGGTTTCTTCTAAGCCTCGCCATCCACCTTAGGGGATGGGAGTGGGGACTGTTTAAATTCCTGGGTGTGGGGAGCAGGGGGCGAGGAACAGCAGGTACAGGCAATAGTGTTCCTAGTTTATCCACACACTTCCTGCAGGTCGGCTGGCTGGCGGACCACATTTCCGGACAGGTATCGGGTGGTTTCCTCAGAGGGTGGACAGGGCACTGGGATGCTGTCTGGACAAGACGAGAATGAGAATGTGGCGTGTCTTCTGGTGTGCAGAGCATTGCCATCGTGCAGAGGACCACCGCTTTCATACATTTACCCATGTCCATTTTTAAAAAGAACGATTTGTGGAGAAGTTGTAAGCCCGAAAAAGTAACCTGAACTCCACAAAATTTGTGCAGAATTGTAAGCCATGTTGGATGTGTGGACAAAAAAAGCATGAGATTTATGTACCTGTAATCTATGGTATCTGAATTTCTTGTGTAACTCTGACTTGCTTTGCTCTGGGTGAACTTAAATCCCCTCTTGGGGTTGGTTTGTTTCCTTTGAGGGCAGGTAGGAGCAGTTTTGCAAGGGTGAATATTTCCCGCCGTTCACATACTAGATTGGCCACAGATAGGGCCTACCCCAGTGATTGTATCAAAGGTAGCTAGCATATTTAACACTTTTCTTATTAGTAAAATTTGCAAAGCCTTTGTTAATAATAGCAATCTCTTCATTCTCAGATTAAATCTGCACTTTATTTAATGAAGTCTTTTTTTAAAGGGAATGCTTTTAGTGAAAAAATGCATTAGGCCTATAAGGGAAGCTAATACTTTTCTGCTTACTTTTCTGTTTATGTACTTGTTTTTATTTAGAAAGGGGGAGGGAGGGAGAAAGAAATACAGAGAGATCTCTTCCATCCATTGACTAACTCGCCAAATACGCACAACAGCCGGAGCAGAGTCTGACTGAAGCCGAGAGCCCCTAACTCAGTCTGGGTGTCCCCTGTGAGTGGCAGGAGCCCAAGAACTTGAGCCATCACCTGCTGCTTCCCAGGGTACACATTGGCAGGACGCTGGAATCGGAAACAGAAGCAAGACCGGAATCCAAGCCCTCTGATAGGGGATACTGGTGACCTGAGCAGTATCTTATCGGCTGGACCAAATTCCTGTTGCAGGCTTACCTTTTAAAAGCATTATGAAGTTGGAAATTGTTTTTACTCCAAATTTTTAAATCAAATTGTTATGATTTTTTAAATGGTCTCCAAAAGTATTTCAATATGCTGTCACCAGTAGCCCAACCCTACAACGAAGGGAAAGGGCGAGTGTTGTGCTTAGTGGTTGAGACACCACATCCGCTCTCAGAGTACCTGGATGCGAATTCAGTACCTGACTGCAACTCCTCACGTTGGCTTCCTGCAGGCCCTGGAAACAACAGTGATGGCTCAAAGTGCTTGGACTCTTGATTTCCATAGGAGAGACCTGCTTTTACTTGCTGGCTCCCACTTTTACGCCTGCCACACTCGAATCCAATCAATTGTAGGCATTTTTGAAGAATGAGTTAAGAGATGAGAATCTTATCTCTTGATCTTTCTCTGCCTGTCTGTCTCTCTTTCAAATAAATAAATAAATAGCTTAAGCAATCAATGAAATGAGATGGAAACTATGTTTATTTGGCCAGGCATGTGTTAGTGCCTTATTATGGCACCTTGCTATGATACTGTTTAGCTACTCGGCATACCTAATACCTTACCTCAAATTCTTACTACAAATCCCTAAAGTGGATGATGCCATACACATTTACCGAAGAAGAAAGAAGCTTAGAGTTCTTAGCTAAATGAGGAGGAGCCTGCTCATTCTTAGTGGTGTACTTACAAGCATTATCCACAGACTTTTTCACCTTCATGCATTTACCATTATCTTGCCGTAGTGAATGTATGCAGAAACTGTGGCAAAGGAAGTAAAGTCACTTGTCTAAAAAGTATGTAGCAGACTTCAACTTTGGAATCAGGGCTGTCTGTTTCCAAAACCCATGTCCTTGCTTCTGATCTCTTTTAAAAGCCTGCCAAGAGCTCGTCTTTTTGGCTAGGCCTTCTCTGCACATACCAGCTTTTGTCCACATAACTGTGAAGCTCTCATGGGCTACATCACACCTCCATGAGTTGCTTTCTGTCTCTGCAATGTTGGCTATATTTCCAGCCCTGGATCATTCATCAAAAGTTATAACAACTAGAGAGGGTGACATTACTGTGGAGAAATCCCTGAACCCACTTAATTTCTTTAAAATATAAATCATTTCAGACTGACATGGGCGAAAGCATGGCCTCAAGATAGGAAAAGCTGACATCAGTTCTGGATCTACTGCCCAGTAGGAGTACAAGTGAGCTCACATTATAAAGCATCTCTGGGCCTTAATAAAACCTTCTGTGGAGGGATCTTTTGGTGAATGTCGTGTTACCATGCATGTAAAGGACAGCTCGTTTCCCCTGGCAGGTGCAGAGTGAACCGATACCAGGCTGCACTAGCACCGATTGAGATTTCTGCTGTGTGTACCTTCATGCCTATTTTGTAGGCATCCTAGGGTTAGTCAGTGGGTTCACTGACTCATTCTCCATACAGGAATCCAGAGGTCTAACCCAGGTTTTAGCATCCTTATCTTTTGAATAACAATGTCTTTTTGAAGTCTTGAATTAGACACGTGTGTTCACCTTTTGTAATTTTTGCCTTTCCCTTTCTCAGCATAATTCTTAGAATGAATTACTACTAGTGTTTCAGTGGATTGGAACTTGTATTTTTGGCTAACACGCTTTCCTGTTTTCTGTTTCTTTTGATCTCTCAGCTTTGCTTATCGTGTAGGACAATCATGACAATGCTGCTATCTCCCCGCTACATTCCTCTCTCTTGACCAAGCACCTACCAGCTGAAATTCTGTCAAGGCCCAACCTCAGTGCCATTTCCTTCCTGAACACATGCTTGCCTCTAAAATTCTTTGTCAGTTTGTTTGTAATTTAGACAACATGTACCCGCAATGATTTAACATTTTACTTTTGTGATCAACCCCTAATATGCTATCAAAATAGTAAGGGTTCTGAAATCAGGGGTATTTTTCTGTTTTAAAATTTTTTTTTCGTTTAGATAATATATTATTATTATGGTTTGTGGTTCCTGCACGAAAGACGTGTCAAATATGTGGAGAAGGTCCTTACAACAAGTAGAAAGACACTCGTATTGTCTCATTTACCTGATTACTAGTGCCACATTTGTTATTTTGAGACTTGTTCATTCCAGCCTTCTCTGTCAGTTTAGCTTCTGTGAAATTTACTGAAAGGACATAGTTCTTAAAGCCTTGGCTATCAGCACCGTGTAAAGAAGCTACATCTTATTAGTAAATTGCTCCAGTGGTGACACAATAACCTTAGTAGGTTACAAAAATACTGAACTCATCAACAGTGTTTGGCATTGTAGATGAGGTAATAGTCCAAACTGATTTCTCCAAGTAGGAATAGGATTTATCTGAGAAGACCTCTCAGAGAGAAGGTTCAGTACATGAGCAAAGAAAATTTCAATCCCTGTTGGTTGGACATAGGACTAATCCTGCCACAGTGGAAAGCTGCAATGAAAAGTGAACTTTGTGAGAGAATTAGCACAGGTGGAAGACCCAGTGTAAACACAGATATAAGGATTAGGGAAAAATAAAATAAAATAAATTAAAAAAAATACAAGAGGTAAAAAAAATGGGGCATGATTATTATACGATGTGACTAAAACCAACTAGCTATTCGTTATGTGTGGCCTATAAAAGTAGGAAATCGTCTGTGGGTCAGGATGATCAAGAGAGGAGAGCTGTGGACAGGGCCTTTACCATTAGCACAGTGGGGTAAGCCTGCCTAATCCCAGGGCTAT